TAAATCTGGGCTTCGCCATAAATTGGAAGAAAAGCTCGATTTTCCCGGCCCAGACAATTGTTTATCTGGGAGTGGAATTAAATTCAATTACCATGACGGCTCGCTTATCACAAACAAGAATCGACACTCTAAAAAACCAACTACGTAAGACCTGGCAAAGTGGTAACAGCTGTTTCCGTCATGAAGCTGTTGGGAATGATGTCATCAGCTCACACAGTGGTTCCGCTGGGTTTGTTACACATGAGACGCCTCCAGAGGTGGTTTGCGCGTCTGCGTGTGGATCCAGTAAAACAAAAGAGACGGATGATCACTGTCCCTCCCTCCGTGAGAGCAGACCTCCGACACTGGGGAAACACCCTGGTTCTGTCAGAGGGAGTCCCCGTCAGCAGACCCTCGTCACACGTGTCAGTCTTCACGGACGCGTCGCTGTCAGGCTGGGGGGGGGACATGCTTATCTCAAGCAGTAGGGGCGCTGTGGCCCCACCACACATCAGCCCACATCAATGTTTTGGAGTGTCGCACAGTGCTGAACGTGATTCAGCATTTTGCTCCCGTGCTACAGAATCAAAACGTGTTGATTCACACAGACAACATGGTGACTGCTGCGTACATAAACCGCCAGGGGGGTGTGCGTTCAGCCCAGATGTTACACATTGCGCGGAAGCTACTGTGTTGGGCTCACCAAAATCTGCTTTCCATCAGAGCGGTCTACATACCCGGCGTTCTGAACAGAGGAGCAGATGTGATGTCCAGGGGCGGCCCACGTCACGCGGACTGGACCCTCCATCCAGACCTGATGTTTCAGACGTGGCAGAAGTTTGGCAAAGCAGCTGTGGACCTGTTTGCGACGCGAGAGAACGCTCAGTGCCAATTATGGTTTTCCCTGAGCCCACGAGATGATCCACCGCTGGGGGTGGATGCATTTGCCCACAGCCCGTGGCCCAAAACGCTTCTGTACGCGTTCCCCCCTCCCCCTCTGATTTTACGGTTTCTGAACCGAGTTCAGGAGGAAGGATTGACAGCTCTCCTGGTAGCTCCCGAGCGCGTGAACGCACCATGGTTCCCAGTCCTGCAACGTCTGTTGTCGGGTCGTCCGTGGAAACTGCCATGGAGGGAAGATGCTCTCCTTCAAGCAGGAGGAGCGATCAGGAGTTACCCGGAAATAGGCCAGCACCTGTGGGTCTGGCCACTGAGCGGTCCCGCTTAGAGAAGATGGGTCTCCCTCAGGAGGTAGTGCGCACAATTCAAGATTCACGCGCTGCATCTACCACAGCCCTGTACACATCAAAGTGGACGGCCTTTCAGCGCTGGTGTACAGAGAAAGGTCTGGAGGCCACCTCATGTCCATTAGGTGGCGTGCTGTCCTTTCTTCAACAGCTGATGGATAGAGAGTTGGCATTCAGCACGATTAAAACGTACGCTGCAGCCATCTCTTCCTGCCACGAAGGGTTCGGAGACAGAACAGCTTTTAATCACCCGCTGATGAAGCGGTTTCTAAAAGGTGTACAAAGACATAGGCCGGTTTCACGCCCACTCGTTCCACAGTGGGATTTAACACTGGTCCTGCGAGCCCTGATCAAAGCTCCATTTGAGCCTCTGGATCAGGTTTCACTTAAATTCTTGTCTCTTAAAACAGCCCTGCTGCTGGCTTTAACATCCGCTAAGAGGGTGAATGATTTATCGGCCCTCTCTGCCGCTCCGTCATGTCTCAGAATCCAGGCTGACGGTAGTTCAGCTGATTTAAGACCAAACCCAGCCTTTATGCCTAAAAACATCACGAGCTCTTTTAAATCGAGACAGATATCGTTGGAGGGATTCTTCCCTCCCCCCCACAGATCAGAAGAAGAAGCATCTTTTCATCTTCTCTGCCCGGTGCGGGCGTTATCGTGCTACATAGCGCGCACAGCTACAATGCGTCAAACTCAACAATTGTTTGTGCATTATAGAGATGCATCTGCAGGCCGCCCGTTATCCACCCAGCGCTTGTCACACTGGCTGTGTGAGGCCATTTCTGAAGCCTACAGAGCATCAGATCTAGAGCCTCCTGTCAAACTCAAAGCACACTCAACCAGGGGTATCGCATCTTCGACTGCTCTGCATAATGGTATGTCAATGCAGGACATTTGCACTGCGGCTGCAAGGTCAACATCCTGCTCATTTATTCGCTTTTACCTACGTGATGTAACGGCTCGTTCCATGACACATTCTGTCCTTAGTGCTCTAACAGAATGAATACTGTTGTTTTCTTCATGGAACTCTGTTTAAACTCACATCTGTCTGCATGCTTCACAGTGTGAGATGTTGTTATCAGTCACAAGTTGTGTTTGTGATTTTGGTTCTATTGTCACTAATCAGTTCATGACTATGGTTACCAATCAGTTCATTTGTTCAATAATCAGTTCATTGATATTAATCTGTTTATACTGTTCAATCATGAATCAGTTGCTTCATGCCCCCCCCCCCCCTCCTCTTTTCAACATCTTCCCCCGTTGAAAGTTTTTTTCCGGGGCATTCATGCTTTGTCAGAACGCATAGTTACACAACATGTGTCTGTGCATGGCACACAATTACGCAATGCGTAGTTATCCACATGGGGAGCTGAGTGACAAGACGTTTTTTGGGCAAGCTTCCGTTTCTTACTGTGTTCGAATGGACCCAGTGAGGCGAGGACCACATCCGCTTCGCCCTTAACCCACTAAGCGACAGCTCTTAAAAGGCGAAGCCTATATGAAATAGAACGTTGGTTACGTACTGTAACCCCAGATTCTATGAATATAGGCGTAGCCCTTTAAGCGTCGGGCCTCACTGGCTCCTGAATAGCTGAAGAAAAGAATAAGCTATTTGGGAGCAGATTACCCGCTCTTAATGTAATTTATACGGATCGGGTGGGGCCCACACAGCAGGTGGGCGTGGACTAATTTTTTTCAGTATGATGCTTGCGCATAACGGGATAAACCCACTAAGCGACAGCTCTTAAAGGGCTACGCCTATATTCATAGAATCTGGGGTTACAGTACGTAACCAACGTTTCTGAGTCTTCTAAAAACAGACTCTCTCTTAGCTGGTGCAGTGAAATTATTCCAGGTGAAGAGAAAGAAACAGCTCAACCTTTAAAGCAGCTGGTGGTGGATCTGCAGACAAACTCCTCCTGAGTGAAATGCAGCTACATACAAGTGCTCCCTGGCTTTATGCAGAAGTTGTGACCATCATCTTTTCTGATCGCTTGGATCCACTGCCTCCTTTGGTCTGGGTACGTCGTGAAAAGCATGGTAGGACAGATATGGTTGTTTTCTTGCCCCACAAGAACAACCAGGAACTGAACAAAAGAAATCGCTCCGAGACTGAGCCATTTTCGTCACTGTCTAATGCTAACGCTATAGCCACCGGAAGTTGTTGAACACCACATCCGCTTTAAAACACGGAAGCGTGAAAAAGATCTATCCTCACACTACACTTCACCTCCTTGGTCTGACCTGCCGGTATCACTGTTTTTAAACGTCCTACTTTCACCATGGCTTCCT